GAAGGCGATAATTCTATTTTGTAGGAACACCATAGAAAGAGTCGCAAAGAGAAATGGTACTTAGATAGTGCGTGTTCCAGTCACATGACATGTGACAAAAATCTATTCAAAGAAGTCACAAAAATAAATGGAGGAAATGTCAAATTTGGTGATGATTCAAAAGGAAATATCGTTGGTACCGGTAAAGTTCGATTCAGTAATAACTGTGATATTACAGAAGTATACCTTGTGGATGGACTCAACTACAATCTCTTGAGCATAAGTCAACTATGTGATTTGGGATTTGAAGTTAAATTCAAGAAAACATGATGTGCCATTGAAGATGAGTCAGGTAAAATTATTCTCCCAGGAAAAAAGGTATGGAAATGTATACATTCTTGATGACATTGAAAATATAGATAGTCATATTTGTTTGGCATCCATATCTGATGATCCATCTCTATGGCATAAAAAACTTGACCATGCAAGCATGCATTTAATTGAAAAACTCTCCAAGCATGATCTAGTAATTGGACTTCCCAAACTTAGTTTTTCTAGAAATCATGTATGCGATGCATGTCAGATTGGCAAACAAAGTAGAAACTCTTTCGAACCCAAAGACATTGTATCAACAACCAAGCCCTTAAAATTACTTCACATGGACTTATTTTGTCACGACCCAAACCGCAGGGCCGCGACGGGCACCCGGTGCCTTACTCAACCAAGTACCAATGTAACATATCTTTCTTATCATACCATCATGGGTAAGTGGGCTAGAAGGGCCGTCATGAGATAACTAGAATAAAACATAAGGGAATACTATACATAAGACGACCCAACATGGTATACAAACACATACATGTGACATACAAGCCTATATGACCGAAATGATCATTTGTACACTCAAAACATAGGCCGACAAGGCCATACAATCATCCATATACATGACATATGTCTACAAGCCTCTAAGAGTATATAAACATCATAAAGGCCGGGATAGGCCCCCGCCATACCAATCTATACATGGTCAAAGCTTACTGACCAAATAGGCAACTCCGGAGCAAGTGGAGTGCACCAACACCTTCCGCTGAGCTAGTAGCCTACTAGGAGGCTTGTTAACCTGTCTATCGAGACCTGCGGGCATGAAATGCAGCATCCCCAGGCAAAAGGGATGTCATTACAGATAAAGTACCGAGTATGTAAGGTATGAATGCAGTATATAAAAGACATGAAAGAAACATGGAGTTAAGAACTCAACCTGTAAGTCTGAATAGCTCTGTGAGTCATGAAACGTTTATAATGTCATACATATGCGTATAAATGTCATATCATCCATATGTATATGTGTACATAACGTCATCAAGCCTGTGAGGGCATCCCATTATATCATCTCGGCCTCTGTGGGCGAAATCATCAACGTATACCAGTTGATCAGGTGGTGGTGCATATATAACACCATAACCTTTCCCCATACCCCATGTACATATAATATACGCGTATATAACGCCATCTGGTCATGGGTCAATGTACATGTATAAGATCTCTCGGAATGTCATAAGATTATTATGCCTTCGGATAAACTTTATCAACTTGCATATTTTTCTGAGACACATGAACAGACTATATAATAATAGGACACATGGAGAATCAAGAACATAGACACCCCTAGTACTTCTATGAATAGGGCATTTATGAAAGTTGTGCGTTTGTATCATATGGATAATGCCAAAGGAAAGAACTGATAGCCTTAACATACCTTAAACCCGTTGAGTCCTTAATACCTTCCAAGCAATCTTTCAAACAACTCAACTCAATCTACCATAGCATAAGGAGATTCAAAATCAGTGCTGAGTGAAGGCTAAGTCCGCAACTTAAGCTAGTAGCTCGTTTATGTAAATTTGGGTAGCATCTCCCCTATAAAAATGGCATCCTCCAATACAATATACCAACAACAACAACCACATAAATCCAGCAACATATAAATATCAATAACAAGACACCATATAACAACAACAAATCACAACTACTTCACGACAAGCGGCAAGCTCCGATTGGAATCTGTATAACCCATATCACCCATTATAGACTTCTTACATTAACTTAACAGTATCCTTAACATGATAATGAAGTCGTTCATCAATGATTCCATCCTTATACCATATATTTATAACAAAAACAATCCACAACTCCAACAATCCTCAATTAGCAACTTTATTCACTAGTTCATGTCTAGTCCATCCATTTAACTTAATCAACATCAAGATAACCTAAGCACATGCAATAACACAATAAAAATAGCTCCTACAGTAGCTTCAAGTCGAAATCCAAGTTATAGTTAGCTTACAACAACCCTCAATGGCAATACAACACCATAGAAGTGACTTAAGCTAATCCAAGTATTATCTTGTAGTTTATCATTCTAACAACTTAACCAACATACAATCAAGATTAAGCACAATTAGTAGGATGTTATACTCACCTTATCCAGTAGCAACAACTTGAAATTTCAGCCAAACACAGCCCACAACTATCCTCAATGGCAACACAACCTCAAGGAGGTGTTGTTCTTCACTAGAACTAACTTTTGATATTGAAATATGGTGTAATCACTTCAAACCCTTATGGTATATGTTCAGGAGGGTTAGAGGAGTGTAGGTACGAGTTGGGGTCCAAAAATGAGAAATAAAGGTCGTCCAAATCGTTTTTAAAGTGAAGTAGGTCGACCACCGCTTAAGTGGGTCTCGCGAAAACACGAATATCTCTCTACTCCAATGTCATATCGATGAACGATTTAATGAGTTAGAAACTAGATTTGTAGATATTCAATTTTATATGTGGATCACCACATAATTCAACGTGCATTGGGAGAAAAGCTCAGCTACATTTGACCTAAGTTTCAACACATTTATGAATGTTATTTGTGATGACCTTTGCCAACTTTTGTTCCACAACTCGATTGACTTCAAAACATAACACACGACTATAATATGACTAAAGTAACTCATAGAATAACCTCCTTATCATGTTAATCACCCTAGTCTCACCCCAAAGTGCATGTTATAACATTCCAAACTTATCGACTTTCGGCGAAACTTATTTTTCGTTTAGCTTCTAAGCTTTCCAACCCTCCTTGTACTTGTTATTCATGATATTAAAGCTTTTTAATCTCCAAGGTAACATGATTAAATTACTTTATGTACTTTCAAAGACGATCTCATTTCTGAGCTTATATCAATTGACTTACGATGTACTCTCACGTATGAAAACATGGGGTGTAACATGTTTGGACCCACTAGAACTGCCAGCATTGGAGGTAAACCATATGCTTTTGTTATTGTTGATGATTACTCATGTTTTACATGAGTGATTTTCTTATCTCATAAAGATGAAATTTATAAATATTTAGAGATTTTTTGCAAAATAATTGAAAAAGAAAAAGGGTATCTCATCTCAACCATTCAAAGTGACCATGGAAAAGAATTTGAAAGCAGAGCCTTTGAAGAATTCTGCAATGATCGAGGGTATACTCATAATTTCTCAGCCCCAAGATCACCCTAACAAAATGGGGTAGTTGAACGCAAGAATAGAACTCTGCAAGATATGGCCAGAACAATGATATTAGAACATTCATTGCCTAATCATTTTTGGGCAGAAGCAGTAAGCACAGAATGTCATATCCTCAACAGATGTCTCATAAGACCCATTTTGAAGAAGACTCCTTATGAATTATGGAAAGGGAAAAAGGCCTAATATAGGCTACTTTCATCCATTCGGGAGTAAATATTTTATCCACAATAATGGTAAGGACAACCTTGGAAAGTTTGATCCAAGGAGTGATGAAGGTATTTTTCTTGGTTATTCTATTAATAGTAGATCCTTTAGAGTTTATAACAAACGTACTTTATCTGTAGAAGAATCAGTGCATGTTATATCTGATTACAATAACACTACGGCCGAGAAAGAATCATTTCAGGTGATGAAGATGTCAGTCAAGAATCATCACACACAAACAAGCCCCAAAAGTCAACTGACAGTACAGACATAGTCACATAGTCGACTAGTGAACCTGTTAGCAACCATACTGAACCACAAAAAGAGTTAACTACTCCTGTAGGTGGAATGCGACCAAATGAATGGAGAAGTGAACCCGAATATCCTCAAAAGTTTATCATAGGGGATCCAAGCGAAGGAATGAAAATCAGGAGAGCTCTCAAGAAGAAGGCAAATATTGCACTTATTTCTCAAATCGAGCCAAAGAAAGTTGATGGATCCTTAAAAGACTCCAGCTTGGTACAAGCTATGCAGGATGAACTCGATCAATTCGACAAGAATCAAGTATAGGAACTGTTACCTAAGCCATCAAATACTACTGTTGTTGGAACCAAATAGGTGTTCAAAAATAGGTTGAATGAGGATGGAAAGGTAGTCAGAAACAAGGCCAGATTAGTAGCTCAATGCTATTCACTGCAGGAAGGAGTCGACTATGATGAAACCTTTGCTCCGATAGCATGGTTATAATCAATACATATTTTTCTTGAATAGGCATCCTTTAAAGGTTTTAAACTTTTTCAAATGGATGTTAAAAGTGCTTTCTTAAATGGTTTTATTGATGAGGAGGTATATGTAAAACAACCTCCTGATTTTGAAAACTCACAATTTTCCTACGTGTATAAGTTGACTAAAGCCCTATATGGACTCAAACAAGCTCCTTGAGCCTGGTACGAAAGGCTTTGTTCATTCCTAATTGATCATGGATTCACAAGAGGTAAAGTAGATATTACGTTATTTATCAAAAGATCTTCTGAAGGTAATCTCATTATCCAAGTCTATGTTGATGATATTATTTTTGGAATTGCTAACTCTCTCTTGTGCAAGGAATTTTTTAATCTCATGCAGAGTGAGTTCGAAATGAGTATGATGGGAGAACTCACTTTTTCCTTGGACTTCAAATTCAACAATCTGAGGAGGGAACTTTTATCTGTCACACCAAGTACACAAAGGAATTGATTCAAAAATTCAGCATGAGCAATGCTAAAGCAATTGGTACACCAAAGAGTCCATCAAGAAGTCTTGATAAGGACGAGAAAGGAAATTCAGTGGATGAAGCAAAATATCATGGGATGATTGACTCTTTACTTTATTTAATTGCTAGTCGACCATATATCATGTTCAGTGTGTGTAAATGTGCCAGGTTTCAGCTAGCTCCTAAGGAATCTCATCTGACACCAGTAAAGAGGATAATTCGTCACCTTATCAGAACGATTTCATATGGACTATGGAACCCACGATCTAACAATTTTAAGCTTGAATTTTCAGATGATGATCTTGTAGGTGATACAGAAGACAGGAAAAGCACTAGTGGAACATATCAATTACTGGGAAAGGCATTAATATCCTGGAACAGCAAGAAACAAGGCTCAATTGCACTATCCACAGCTGAGGCAGAGTACATTGCTATTGGACAGTGTTGTGCACAATTACTTTTGATGTCTCATCAACTGGGTGACTATGAATTATCTTTGAAACATATTCAAATATTTGTGACAATTCTAGTGTTGTGCATCATTCTAGATCTCAGTATGTAGATATTAAGCATCACTTCATCAGAGATCATGTCACTAAGGAAAGTATAGAATTGTCATTTGTTAGCACTATTGATCAATTAGCAGGCATTTTTACAAAGCCCTTGCTTGAGGACAAATTCTGCACTTTGAGAGAATTACTTGGCATTGTTTCGCTTAATCTAAAAAATTAGGACTTATGTGTTAATTTTAATTCTTTACGTGGCTAAAGTTTTCTTTTGTGTGTAAGTGTTATTAATTATGCGCCTCCGTTTTCCCTCTCTTTTCCCATTAGTCACAACTCTATAGGAAGAAAAATCAATCATCATGTCCTTTTAGTGACGACTTTTCCTTTTCTGTACTCAACCGTCAAATCTCCTCTTTTTAAACCTCTCAATCTCTACCCTTCTGCATCGGTCCTATCGCTCAGAACCCTTCTCCAAAATCCTTCAATGGCAAAACACTCAAAAAATCATTTTGCCTCCATAAAAAAAAGTACCCGTTCCAAGGCAAAACCCTCTTCTCAGCCCCCGGAACAAGTAGACTTAGGTTCTGATCATTTTGAAGGGTTTGCCTCCTCTCAGGCAGAGCCGTCTGACCATACTCATTGAATGAATGAGAAAGCTCTTGGAAAGCGACCCATGGAAGAACCTCCTGAATCCTTTACCCCTAAGAAATCCAAAATAGACCTCTCAAGCTCTCTAGAGTTAGGCCTTAATTTCTACGATACTCCAAATAGAGACTCCTTCATTATCCTCAAAGAGAATTCCATTGTCCATGGCAGAGTGGTCGATCTAAAAGACATGGAAGCCCTAAACTGTAAGGTAAAAGAAATTTTCAAATTCCAAGGTTGGTCAAATTTCCTCTCTCCACCGCCTCCTAAAGTTTATGAATCCCTAGTGAGGATGTTTTATGCTAATGTCCATTATAACAAGCCTGATAAGTTGGAATCTTTAGTTATAGGAAAGCGCATTATTCTACATTGTGCCCTGTTTGACTCAAATTTTCAGTGTAAGTGTTCTGGTTTTCCCATACTTTTCAAAAATACATGGCCTGAAGAGTTTGAAATTACCTTTGATCAAGAAAAGCACTGCATAGCCGAGTCTCGCTCTGATTCCCTTCCTAACCAGTTAGGTCCCAATGATGTTTGAAACTCGGTTTCTCGCTCACATTGTAGTAACAACCCTTCTCCCTCGCACTGGTTCATTCTCCACTTTCTCTCAACGAGATACATTTCTTGTTTATTGTCTAGTGACCAAGCTTAAAATAAACTATCCTCCTGGGTCATAAACTTTATGGTTGAAAGTTCCGATGACCCCACTAGTCTATCTTATGGTATGGTTATCACTCATCTCCTAGAAGCCCATAACATCTCTATTTCTAATTACCCTTTTGTCTCTGTCACCAAATCTTACAACTCAAGAGCTTTTGCCAGTATGGGGTATGTGCGTGTTAAGGGTACCTGGGTAAAGAAGCAAGAAGCAGAAATCAAGACTGTTCAGACTGAATCAAAGGTCAAAGCTTCTGGTTCCCATCTTGGTGTGAGTGATCCTGAACTTGTGGAGAAATTGACTGCCATTGACAAAAAGCTGACCATCATCAAGGACCTTCTTGCTTCAACTCAATCAACCATAGGGGATATTCATGCCATCTCCAAGGAGACATGGTCCGATGTATCAAAGATAAGGGTCAAGATTCTCAAGTTAGCAGAAAATGCAGTCAAAGATTTCAAGGAGGTGCATGACAGGATCGATGGGTATTTGTTTCAGTAAATGCTAGCTTTGATCATCTAAAGGAGGGTATTTGAAATACTCTCACTTACTTCCTACGTCGTTAGTTGTGTATGGGTGGATGTTTCAGATAATGTTTTGCTGTTTTGGACTGGTTCACTAGTCATTGGATGTTTTTTCTGCTTTGTTTTGTTTTGTTGCTATGTTGAACTCTCACTAACTCTACATGCCTATCACTGCACTTATGATTGCCTAGTTTGCTTGCAATATTTCTGTCTGCAATGTTTTGTTGTTGTTCTATGTATGTATATTCCCTTTTTGCAGACGCCAAAAGGGGGAGAAATAAGTTTATAGTGCAGGTAGACAAGTAGCAGCAATGTTTTTTAGAGGGGGAGTTGACTGTGACTGTCCTGTTGAGGGGGAGTCAACTACAAGTACTGTTTTGTTGAGGCTGTTGAAGTGGAGTCATGCATAGGGGGAGCCAACTAAGGGGTCAACACAACACGATGGGAGTCGACTATACCATTGAAGTAAACTGCTTTTATATGTTATTTTGTCATCATCAAAGTGGGGAGAGTGTTAGATATAGATTTCAATGATGAAAAATAACATATTATTATATGCAGGATCACGTGAGATGTTAAGAAGGATGCGAGCAAATCTATCAATGATGTACAGACGAAGACAAGAAGGAAAGCAGTAAAAGAATCAAGGAAAAGATCTGTCAACGGAAGTAAGTAAGGAAGGTTCAAGATTAAAGCAATATGGAAACCGGGATAATTGGTATAAAGAAGGAAGGACCAAGATTCACGGAGATCTGAACTAGAATTATGCCTACCCTAATTGTTGAAGATATGTGTCGAAAAAGGAAGGCTATCAATCCCATAGATCAAGGAAGAACTTAAGGACCAATTATAGGGGATTCTCCTTTGAAGAAGGAAAAGACCGGCAATCATGGACCATCTATGGAAGCTCCGCACTAATTCTTGGAATGAATCACAACAAATACAATTCCAAGGATCAATTCCCTTGGGATCGCAAATCTCTCAACGGTCTGCCAAAGATACATCAAGACAGGCTCAAGTATATAATGAAGTTTATCCAGGAAGAATCATATACTTTGATCGAACCACTTCAATCTTTTTGTTCTACTCCAGACAAGCATTATAGTCCATTCTAGATCTACTAATTAACTAGAGAGAGAAGAAACAAAGAAAAATCACTAGTGAGGCATTGTATCGAGGAGCGAGAAAAGAAGTAATATAGTGATGAAGCTGTTGGTATATAACAACACCAACCCTCCTGTATCAATAAACTTCAATACTTGAAAGAGAACACCCTTGCAACCCAATGGGACTGGACGTAGGAATCACATTGAATCCGAACCAGTATAAAAATCTGGGTGTCTTTAGTTCCTGCATTTTTACTTCTGCTTTCATTTAGATTCTGCCTTCATTTTCAGTCGACTAATTGGTAAACTAGTCAACTACTTAG